ATTTTATTTTTTGGTACTGGGGATTGAACTTGGGTCCTTGCACTTGTGAGGCAGGCGGTGGAACCAATGAGCTAAATCCCTGGCAACATCTTCTTTATCCATTTATCCATTGATGGACATGTGGATTGTTTCCAAGGCCTGAAATGAATAGACACTTCTCAGATGAAGAAGTAGAAATGGCAAATAAATATATGAAAAAATGTTCAACATCACTGATCGTTTGAGAAATGCAAATTAAAACAATGCTGAGGTTTCATCTCACTCCAGAAAGAATGGCTGTTATCAAGAAAACAACCAATAACAAATGCTTGTAGGGGTGTGTGGAAAAAGGAAACTTCTCCACTGTTGGTGAAAGGGTAAACTGGTGAAAGTACTGTGGAAATCAATGTGGAGATTCCTCAAAAACTAAAATCAGAGATTCTATGCGGTCAAGTTATTTCCCTTCTTGGCATCCCCCCAAAGAATTAACACTTTAAAATTAGAGAATATGTAAAATAACATTTACTCTACTATTTAATGAAAATATGTAATATTAAATCTTATCCCATCTCATTGTAAAGAAATCATTAATGTAGTAATTAGCTTATCCATTAGTCTAATTTTACAAAAAATTAACTTGATAATATTTTTAGTTTAACAATATTTTTAAGTAGCCAAAGTTTCAACCTACTGTTTTATTATTTATAATTGTATCTATGCAAATTTTCATTCATAATAAATAATCATTTAATGTTTTTCCAAGTGGGAAAGTGTAAGCTGTTTCTCTTGGCTGCTGTTCTAATTGTCCTAGGTAACCTATATGTTGTATTTAATCTCTTTCATCAGAAAGGCCCGGAGTGGCTTGTTTCTTTTATTTTTTTTTTTTCTTTTCTTGTTTGACTAAGACTGTTGTGGTCCTCAGAATACACAAGAAGTTGAATATTTGTGCATGATCTTTAAAAATGTAGTCAGACTTTTCATTATCCTTGATAAAATATTCATATTGCATTGATTATGACATTATTTTAAAACATTTGCCAATCAAAATACTTCAGTTTTTGTTCTCTGGATTTTTACTTGTCTAATTAATATTCATGGATATCGTGTTTATTTGTCTTTATATACTCCTACATCTTGGGTTACCCCAAACTCAATTTGAAATGACTACTTTCTGGAAATCACAACAGTTTAGCTGTAAATATTATAGTAGAGCTGTAGGAATGTGGATTGAAGAGTGCACCAGATCTTGAAGTTGGCTCGGACAAGATGGGTGATAGCTTTTGAGAGGTAATTAGTGACCTAAGATCACAGGAAGTACACAGTGGGTACTGAGTTGGTAAAGTGGTAATGTAGTTACATGTATTGGGTACTTACAATATACCAGGCTGGAATCGCTAAGCTACAGTGGCAGAAGGAAACTGCTAGGTCGTATAGCATTTCTTCCCTCCCAGTGAGCCTGTCTTGGATTAATAGGGAACTTAAGGGTGATGAAATATAAATAAAATAGTATACATCAACTCGGAAAGATAGCCAAGAAAATTATCCTCATCTTACAAACAATAGAGAAGACTATTACTGAGGGACAGAGGTTATACAATATTATTTATCTTTGTATATTTTATAGTGCCTTGAACAGTGTGTATAATAGAAGGGTTAACGTAGCTTTGTCAGATGGAATTGACTAGAGAAATTATTTTTTCTCCCAGGGTATAGATTTGAACTCTTTTAAAATCTAAATCCTCTCATGGTACATATAGACTATGCTGCCTTATCTAGCCAATATAAAACAAGAGAGGCCAAAAATCAGGAAACCTTGAAACATTTCATCAAAGCATGAGGTTCTTTTATGGGAACCTGGCTAGTAGTTGTGAGGAAGAGAAGGTTTAAAAGCAAATATAACTAGTCCCCAACTTTGCCTTCATCTCATGACAGTAGGTCTTATCCAAAGCCAGTTTCCAACCTTAGGAGTATTTGTTGATTTCTTTGCTTGATTTGACATGCAAATAGAAATGATCCCATTCTCCAGAGAGAGGGCAGATTTAAAAACAAGAATAAGGATGAATAGTGGTGATCTCAGAACTTGGAAATTTCTGTATTCTCTTATTCTTTCTCTGTTAGCCTGCACTTAAGTATTGGGATAAAGGGGAAAAAAATTCTTTCACATACCTGACTGGATATTGGAAGCTGTTAAATAGTGGTTAAAACTGGGAGAGATGGAGCGAACTTTCCTCCCCCATTTTTTAAAGTTTGGCTGTAGGTCCTTCTGCCTGCAGGCTACAGTCACATTAGCTGTTGGAAATTGGATAACGACAGCACAATGACAAATCCAGGTTGCTTGCAATAAGTTGCTAATCCTTTTGCTCTAATATTGGAGCAGCATGTAATGATGTTTGGACATCACTCCAGTTTACTGACGACCCCACTGGGGCCAGCAATAGAACCTTACAACTGTCTAACAAGGTGTCAGGTGACTCCCGTCGTCACAGCAACGGACACTGGAATCTAATCTTCCCTCCATCCCTTCTAGCACCCAATAACGCCTAGATTATATAAGTGGCCCATCATTGCTTGGTAACTTGAATCAATTAACGTTAATTCGCACAATGCTATGATGTATTGTGATCACTTTCATTTCAGGGAAGGGGGAGAAATTGCTATAAGTCACCTAAAATGAGGTTGTCTGTGGTGCTGAGGTATTAATTGGGTGTCCATATTAAATGCAAAAGGAGCCCCATTGTGAAAGAAAAGTGGATGAGTGACTCTCTTGGCTGCTATTGACCTATCAGAAGAAGACAGTGCCCTTTTCCTTTGCTTTTATCTATTACAGTTTTCCCTATTGCGTGTCAAGTTGATGTATTATAAAAAATTCATTTGGTGACCTTTCACCCCCTGAGCAGATTAAACAATTTCACTTCGATGGCATCATTAACAGGACCCTGCATTTAATGATGATTTCTCTAAAAGGCCACGGAGATTCGATTTTAAGCTAACAGATTTATTGCACTATTATAACATATCGTAAAAAACTGTACCACCTACGGTCAGGTTTTAGGATAGAAACTGCTTAAGAGTTTATGTGGAGCTTAAAGTGGTATTACCTTGGGATATGCTGCAGCAGCAAGTCTCTGACCTCCAGTGAGATGCTGTTTACATTTAATAAGAGATATTTGCTCACAATAAACTTTAAAGTGTGTCAGGGACAGGACTTTGTGTGAGTGTTCAGGCAGTTGTTTCCCATCCTTTCATCTCCAGATAGCAATGTACTTATGTCAGAATCTTTAATGGGTCTTTCAGTTTCTTTAACCCAGGCTGCTTGCCTGTACCCAGCCCTCATCAGAATACACTTATGGACTAGGTTAGGAGAGAAATAGAATCTGGTAATGATTTAAAAATTTTCCAATAACCTGGGACCCATCGAAGGATAGAATTAATAACAGAGACTTAAAAAAATCTGGTTTAAATTGTTCCCTTTAAAAAAGGAAAAGAACCATGGCCTCTCAGGCTAAATAAACTAATAAGTGATGATTGGGCTCGTGTGCACTGAACTCCCAGGGAGCGAGGCTTGAGGGAGACCAGGGTATTGGCTGGTGGAATGAAAAGAGGCTTTTTAGGACCACATGTGCCCACTCTGCCTGCACTTCCAAGGTTTCACAGGGCATATTGTGCAGCTGCTTCCTGCAGAAACTTCATGTTTTGGGACCCATTGTATCTGCTTTCCCATTACTTTCTCTTTCAGGCTAATCACTGCCTTCACCTGACATGTGCCATCCATGGTGGATAAATACTTTATCGTTCCTGTGCACGTGGGGGAGGGGAGCAGTTGGATAACAGAATAAGTGACTCATGAATATTTAATGGGGGAGTAGAGTTGCCTATATTTTCAAAAATAAAAGCCTTTTTAGACCTCGCCTAGGCTATTGAAGGTTACCTTATTAAAGGGTGCTCTATGTTGGGGTAATATATATGACATGATACCTATATATATCCCTTTAATCACCAAATATCTGTTGCATGACTAATGTGTAATATACAGTCAGCTTAATTAAATAGTAAGTGTATTTTTTTAATAAAGCTGCTTTGGTCATCAGCATACCAAAGGGGTATAGAGGTGTCATGAATTACATAACTATTGTATTGCTAAGTCACATCAGCAATTAGTGTACCTGAACAAGGTGAGAAGTGCTATAGCTCATTGTTTCACCACTCAATATTTTGGTTAAGAGGTTTAGCAGGTTACTTACACCTTTTTGGACCTCTTATTCTTCATATATAAATAAGAAAACCTACCTCCTAGTATAATTTCAGAGATGCAACAAATTTATGCATGAAGAGTTTATAATAATACTTGGCACAGTAGCGCTCGGTGAATATCCACTCTAAACAAGATTCTTCGTAAGTGCTTCTTGCAATTAAAATCAATTAATCAGTCCAGTCCATTGTTGTTGGCTCTATTTACTGCACACGTAACTGGAAACTATGAAATGGTGGTTGTTGGGGTTGGATTGTACAGCTGGAGTGTTCTAAGGATTTCTGCTAGCTGTCTTCCAAGACCTGTGAAGTGACATGATCTTACTATCTCAGAAATGGTGGGAGAGCATGCCACAGAAGTTGCAACACACTGCACATCAAGGTATTTCCTGGAAGAAATACCTGAAATTTCCTGGTTTGTTAGCTTCTTGTTGAGTGAATTCCCGACCTCTGAATATCTCACTCTGATAATTTCCTTTACTGAGGATTTTTTTGACTGATCTTAATGCATAGCTATAAAAGTGTATTCATAATTTGTGCATCTCCCTCATTCTTCCAAATCCATACTTTATTATGACAAAGCAAATATATCAAATAAATAAGGGTATACTTTATGGAGCAATATATACTTATTTACTGTACCATACATTATTATTTCTAGTAGCATAAATAAGTATAAGTATGTTCACTGGTAATAATGTCTTATTGAAAATAGCTACTGTAAAAATATTTGTAATTCTATGGATGTATCGTTTTTATTTTATTTTTTACAGAAACACAAGCAATTTCAAAGCTGAAAACCTAATATATGTCCGGCCCTATGCTCTTTTTGTCCTGGTCCAGCCTTCAGATGGAGAAGTGGGAAAAGAGCTGCCAGTGCAGCCACAGCTCGTTTTCCTGGACAAGCAGGTAATGGCTCATCTGATCTTCACACAGCAAAGTTTTAGGTTTCCTCATCACTCATCCACACTCACAGAGTGAGCACTGTGTGTAGTTTGCTACTCTTACTATGTTTGTCCTTTTTCTTTCATGTCACATTCTGCTTTCTGTTTTCTATGAATTCTTCACAGTTTTGTCAAGGATTTTTTTAAAAAGTGCTGATGCTTTTCCTCCCTAAGCAAATTTTTAAAGTAGGTCTCTCATATCTTTTCTGAAAGCAAGCCTTCTCAAAGGAGCATGTCCATCCCTGAAGAAGGTGTGATATATAGAGAGAGTGTTAATGTTTAAAAAAACTATTGTAGTAAAAGACACTTTGTCATTAATGCCTCTCAAAATACTCCCTTTTGATTACAACACAATTATCTCATTATTCGTGTCCTTTTTTGTTTGCTTTTTTGTTTTGAGACAGGGTCATGCTGTGTAGTTCAGGCTGGCCTTGAATTCATAGTGATCCTGTTTAGCCTTCCCAGTGGAGTGATGGGGTTCCAGGAATGTTCCACAATGCTTGGCTTTTGCCTCTTCCTGAAACAGTTCTGGAAGTCCTCTTTATGCCTTAGGAGGTATGATCAAAAATATGATGAATGCAGGACTCTAAGTATTATGGTATATCTTTATCTGCCTTACTCACTAACTTCAGCACTGTAAGACTTCTGACTCTTGCTCAAAGTCAAGTGTTATGAATTGATTCAGGACATCAAGGCAGCCACAACAGATCAACTAAAAATACCTGGAAACCCATCAAGTTTGATTCAGTTGGGAATGTTCCAATGTTTTGGTTTAAACACTCGTCTTTTTTAATATAACTTCACAGTACACTTTTGAATCCAACTTTTTGTTTCCCATTCCTTTCCCCACTTTCAGAATCAAAGAGTGGAATCCTTGGGTTCCCCCTCAGAGCCATGGACCATTTCAGTTTCCCTGGAAGGGACATCAAAATCAGTGCTAAGAGGTTGGTATCTGAGACTTGCAGACACCTATTATTACTTTGCCCAGAAAATGTTTGCATTTGTCTTTTGTTAATGTAACAAAATACTGACATTGGACATGGAGTTTCAACGGTCACATCTAATGATGACCTTCTTTCTGGCAGAGTCCTGTGTAGCACATGGCAACACATAGGGAGTGTACATGTGCATATATGTCTGTCTGGACTCCCTTTGTATGAAGCTACAAGTATTCAGTCAGAGACGTTCCACCCTGGTGACTTCTTCTACTCCTCTTCACCTGCCAAAGGCCCCTCCTCTAAACACTATAGCCAGATTAAGTTTCCGCCCTCCTAATATTTCATGAGGGTTACTGAATTTCAATGCATGAAAACATGGAGGACCCACCCAGGGTATATCTGCCTTAGGAAATCATAGCAAAGTTCATGGTCCGTATATGCAGTGATTTGGAAGGATTCTTCTTCATCCACTGTCAACAGGGACAGTGTTATAAAAAGAAAGCAGCCTGGCATCAGAATACTTAAGGTACTACCTTCTCCTGTGCCTTTCTTTGCAGACAAAGATATACCATTTTCATCTAACTTGTATTCTCAATATGGCGTAAAGAAAGGGGCACTGGGCTTATGGCTGGATCTAAAATCTATTTCTCTACAAAATACTCTGTGCTCCTGGTACCCACGCTTATTTGGTACAGCATCATGAACTGGCCCAGGGAGAAATATACCCAGTACACTATGGTTTTCATGTGGAAACAGAAACACTCGCTCTCAGAGTTGTGAAGAATAAATGCATTCAGCAACACTAAAGCATCCGACCCAGAGCAGGCCCTCAGAGTTAGTTTTCTCTTCTCCACTTTGTTGTGCCCTTCCTTACCTTCTGTTCAAAGCCAGCAACACTGCCAGCTCCATTTACTTTCCTTGAAACTTGTATATGAAAATGAAAGTGGATTTTATTAAAATACATATTTGTCAAGTCTTGGCCCAAGAGAGTTGGACTGTATGATCTGTAGATAAAGCCAGGAATGTATGTTTTAAGGTCTGGTCCAGAGAGAAACAAACAGGTATAGCAGAGCTTTTCTTGACCTCAGGGCCCACAAAAGTATCTTTGAAATCCAGCCTACTCAAACAGCTGAGAAGGGGCTTGTGTGTGGGCCCCAGTGGTCTGTCACAACTCAGAATCCCTAAGGATTAGTTCTGTTGCCACTTCTTTGTGCTTCAGAATTAGAAAGTACATAGTCTTTTATTATTAAAATAATAAATTGATGGTTCAATTATTATATTTTTAATGTTTTAAATGTATTAAATGTGGTCTACAGAAAATATTTTAAGGAGAATGTGTTTGAGAAACAGAAAGAAAACAAAGAAACTCAGTAACTTTGTAGAGGGTAAAGTCAAAAAGGGGACTTTGTAGGCTGGAGCCCTACGAAGGGCTCTGGAGACCACAGAGATGGGTTTGGGCTGTACTCAGAGAGGTGCAAAGCCATTGGATGATTTGAAAGTGACCAGGTCTGACTGCCATGTTACATGACTGCTCTGCTATCGGGAGTGAATTGGAATATGAGGAGAATTAATTTACCAAGTCAGGTGCTTGTAGAAGGGCAAAGAAGACATGATGGTGGAGATTAAAAAAGAATTGATACAATGCGTCTTTAGCAGTACAGTCAACAGAGTTTACCAGAGGTAAAAGAAACAAGGATTTAAGGATAATTTTTAGATTTTGAGCTTGATATGCTGGTTGGATATTTTTGTCCTTTACTAAAATGATAAAGGCTAGAGAAACATGTAAGAGTAAGTATGACCTGGCTGCTGGGCCTAATTAAAATGAGTCTTTTTATAAAAATGATTTAAGGCAAAAGAAAAAGAGGTGTTCTGGCTTACTCTTGTTATAATTGTATTCCAATGAGTTAGAAGAGCTTTTACCTGTTCTCTTACTTGCCTACCTTCAACCTGTCCCCAGATTATTAATCATTTTTACTACAAGAAGTCTTCTTTCTTTTGTGTGGTTTCCAGGGGTAGAGCTTCCAACACATTCTCCTCCACAAAAGCTTCCAACTTTCTGCATGTGGGTGTTTCTTCTCTACACAAAGAGCCTCAAAATTTTCCCTGGCTGCAGGTAGAATTGTGCACTTTCTTTCTATTTGAACAGTAGATTCACTTCTTTCTCTCCAGGCTAGAACCTAAACCATGCATTTTTGGGTCTCTCTGCAGAGTATATAATCCAATCTCTTGGGCCAAATCTTGGGAATCTTTATTTTACATCTATTTCCTCTGCATGCATGATCATAGTTCAAGTCTCAGGTGTCACCCTGAGGTGAAGAGAAATTCATTTTAGATCAAACCAGTCTAATTAAAACAAGATGGCTCAATGGAATATTCTAAAATTATTTCATATATTTAAATAGAAGGTTAGAGATTTTAAAAGTCAAAAAAATGAACCTGTTGATTATATTTAATCTTTCTAGCTAGTTCCAATGAGTAAATTAATAAAATACCCCCAAACTTAAACTGATTAAAGGAATTTTTCAGGTAGGTCATAGAAAACATTTTTAGAAGAGAAAGCATTTATCTTCATCCTTATAAACTCCAGTCTAGGTCACCTTTCTCAAGAAAGTCCTTGAAGGATAAATAATTAAAAATATAGAAACAATGAATTAATTGTTTCATTTTTTTGTCTTTTTGAATTCAGAATTATTGGATAATTTTGATAAGGAGCTAAGACTCAAGCAAATCTATGAATTATAGGTTTATATTGTTTTAGATTAGAAACAGTTTCTTAATATTAGCTTAGTTATTGTTCACGTGTGATAAATGTGCCAAAATATGCATATTCAAGAAATATATTGACAGTACAGGAAAATAACAAGAAAAGAATAAAAATTACTGTTTTCAGAATAATCATCTGTGACTCCCCAGATATTTACACAGGATAACAAACAGAATCTTGTCAACTCTTGGAAATCACTCTTTTTGGAAACATGGCTTTAAGCAGTGACTATTTATGCAGAATTACTGATACCATGGTAATGATGTGCCAGCCCTTTGAGATTTGTCAATGCATGTTAAAAGGAAGTTTAATACCAATTAATCATTGGCAGTTTTAAAGTACTATGGTTTGCATGTGTCTTTCTACAAATTTTTGATCAAATATCTTTATCCTTATAAAATTTGAGTAACAACTCTTTAAAGATTGACTTTATGTTCTTCATGGAACAACTAGGGCATTTCTGTTGGTTTTGTGTTGTCGCAAATGTTTTCTTTGCAGACTTCGAGATGATTTATGTCATTTCATGTATCAGTCTATCTGCAAAATTGCTCATTTTCAAGAACAGGCAATTAGTTTACATTTATTTCTTTCTCTATCTTAGTTATATTTCTAAAATTGTCCATATGGTTCCCTAGTATATTAAATCCTAAACTGAATAAAAATAAGTCAATCATAGACATGCTAAGGCTTGTCTCTGCTGCTGGCTATGTTTATTTTTTACTTAAAACTCTTCCTATAATCTTGTTCACAATTCCTAGCTATTCTGAGGAAATTGTTCTTTCTCTAAAAAGGAAGATATAAAATTATTATGATTGTTTCCAGGTTAATCAGGTTTTATAACTTGATCTCAGATATTGGGCTTTTTAGTATCCCCATTTTATTTAGCTCATGCCTTTTGTTTCCTGTAAGGCTACACCTCATCAACTCTAGAGAACAGAACTGTCTTCTGAAAACTCTCTTGAGGAGGCAATCGACATCTTGTGATTAAACATTTCATAGCTTCAAAACCCTTACTGCTTAACACTTGTTTTCTTATTAGAACTATAAATTTTCCAACCATCTCTTTTCAAGTTGCCTTTCAATTATTTTGGCTATAAATTCCCTGCTTCATCTACTTACTTATTAAGAGCCCAAATCTTTTCAGCCTGTTCACAGAAATAATTTGCTTCCAAATTTCCCAAGTCTCTTTGCTCCCCTTAGCATCCTCCCTGCTCTATGCATAATTCAGTTTTACAGGCACAGGTAATACTGTGTGTTTTAAAAGAATTTCCTCATTTGCTTTCCAATCTATTTTGCTCACTTTGCTAAAAATAGCAATCATAGTGCTGAATCTAGTTTTGCTCTTAGTCATTTCTTTACTCAAGCAGCAAAACCTAAAACTCCTTCAGTTCAAAATCTTAAGGAAAAAAGAGAGCACCAAATATTTCCTGTACACATTGTCAGAAACAAGCTGCATTATTAAGATAGTAAGGTAAGAAATTAGATTCATTCATAGGAAAATGGATATATATTGAGGATATATTCCTAAGTGAAATAAATAAGTCACACATGTGTAAATACCGAATAGTTTCTCTGGTGTGAATAAACTGTAATAGCACATAAGATCCTAATGAGATAACTGACGTGAAATGGGAAGAAAAGGGATAAAGGTGTAGGGAAAGTGGGAAGGGTAGAGGAAGGGTAATAAGGGAAAAGAAAAAAATGTGAGAAAATGAAAAGATGGAAATAAAGTGTTTGTAAATGGGGAGGGTAGGAGGGCTGAAGGGAGGGCAGGGACAAGGGAAAAAAATGAGAACCAAGACCTGTCATGTAGAGGTACAAGATCCCAATAATCAATGCAACTGTACTGTATACCTAAAATGTACCAATAAACTCAATTTAAAAAAACAAAAAAAATTATAAAAAAGATAGGTAATAAGAAAAACTATCCAAGCTCGAGTTAAGGGTTCAAAGCTGCATTATAAGACAGTTTTGAACTGTCTGCTATGATACTGTCATTCTGCTTTCTGTTCAATATCATTTTGCTACTTCTGGTATATCAGCATGAAAATGCTTTGGATATAATACTAACTCACCTTTTGATCTTAATACAGCCGCATTAAAAATATTAATTTCCACCCTGGTGCATCTTAACACTCTACAGACTAGATCACAACCCCTAATAGCACACACACCTCTGAAGTCATAAGTAGATCATTCTACTGAGGAGTGTAGTTCCCCCATAATTCACTCACATTCCAGTAGATCCACCTCTGAACATATGAGTCTTTTGAGGACATTCTAGATCTAAACTGTAACAGTAGGTCATGTTCCATATCTCAGTAATACGTTAGTCCCTTACCAATACTTCACACCATAACTATACTGTGTTCTTTACCCATAGTCTGTGCCTCACTCATATTCCATACCTTGCCATACCTAATATACTACTCCATCTTGTGCCTTACCCATACTGTATACCTTCCCTTATACCATATTTCACTCAGAATCCATGTTTGGCCCCACTCCTGACACTGATTTACTCCAGTCCTCAATAGTATTCCCATCCTACGGACGTCCTCATTGACCAGCTTGGACTCATACTGTGGCCATGGAAAAATCAAAGAGTCCTAAGAGATTTCACTTTTTTATTCTACTAAGAACAAATTGTGCACACGGATCATTATTACCACTGTTAGATTAGGATATCTCATGGGAAAGTGTGAGGAAGAGGCTGAGAATTTCTTATATACATTACACTGTGTGTGTGTGTGTGTAATGAATTAAGGAAGAAATCATGTACTTTTCTGTTTTTAGAAAGTTCATGTTAGGGAAAGTACCCTATTTCTTAAAATCAAATGTTTTTCTGGGAGCCATAATGAAATACTTTTCTTTAACTTCAGAAAGAATGGCACCAAAACCACTTGGGATGGATTATCTAACTTCCTCTAAGTATTTCCTAGAGAAAAATAAAGTAACAACTAAAAACCCTTATCTATGTGTCTAGTCTACATCTTTTATTCCACAATTTCATTTCATGTTCCTTTTTCTTGGTAGACCTTCCTCAATGAAAAGATGTTTATTCCCCCCCAAAATAGATTTATATACTCAAAGACAATTATTTAGGGGTCCTCCAGGTCCTTTAATATTTAATTGTAGATCATTTTCCCAGGAAAAATTTCTTAGAATTTTTAAAGGTAACCACTTATGGGAGATGTGAAAGTTTTCTGGTAGCTATAACAAGGGATGAGTGAATGAGTGAGTTGAGATGGTTGGGCTGCAAAGGTATTTTAGAATCCATATACCCTGAAGAAACACATTTGAGAAAGTTTCCCTAGTGGCTGTGTAAACAATTTCTGTGTTGCTTCCAGCCCAACACTCTACCTCATCCCACGTTGCCCCAGTCAGTGCCTTATTTATGCCGGCTTGATCAGGGAGCCTGTCTTGGCATTTGTGTATTTTATAATCCCTATTCCAAAGATATGATGAACCCTGGAGTAATGTACTATACTTGGCAGCAACTGCTTCAGCTTTTGGGTACATATGCTTCAAATATGAGAATATCATAGATATATATGGATATCTTTGTGGAAATCTCTAAGGCAAGCTGGTATTTAACGCAAAAGTAAACCCATTTAAAGCTAAAGCACTTTCCATTAGGCAATTTGGCGGCTGTTCTGTGAGGCAGACTCACTGTGCTCGATGGACAATTCCGATTAAATGCTGCTTTGTATTCTTCCAAAGATGGGAACAATAAGGACGTTTGTCAAAGGAAAAACTGCAGCAAACAATTTCAAGTTGAACATCTGTACACTGCAATTCATTGTTTGCAAGAGTTTATTGACCATAATTTTGATGCATATAGGTTTTAAAGAGTATAAACTACATTTATCTTGGGTGCCTATCATTTATTTGAGTCTTGGATTATTTATTTTCATTTTGGTGGGCATTTTGTTTATTTTGGGAGTCTGAAGAGGGAAATAAAAGATGTTTTCCAGAAAGGAAGTTTTAGTCAGCTCTGCAAAATTGATGAAGAAAAACATTGTTTTTACAAAAAAGATTGAGCAATTGAATTGAAAAATGTTACACTAAGGATATTATATCATTATGATACCTTTGAGCCTTAGAGATCTAAAACCAATTTATAAACTTTAAAACCATTCTCCTATCTCTCTGTCCACCATAACAATCACAGTGACATTTCCAGAATGGAATTTAGTAGCTATTAATTAGCAAAGTAATTTAGGGATAGTGGAGTCAAAAGATAATTTATGGTATTGGGAATGTGATCCTAAATTAAGTTAGCTCCTTTCACTTTGTAGTGAATAGTTTATTGCTTGAAGATGTAAGCTTCCATTTTTGCATTTAAATTGGGGAAACCAATACCTGGGAAATCCGAGTTGTTAAAGCAGAGTGACTACATCAGTTACAATTTGCTAATAAGTTGTTATCCCCATCTAATGGCCCAAATCTACTACCACATAAATATAGAATCTTTGAATAAACAGAGGTACTGATCTCTTGAAAAAGAATAAAGTTACTTTCTTAATGAATATCTAATAATAAAATAGTCAACTTATCGAAGTGGCTGATGATACAAACTTTAAAATCAGGCATATTTGGGCTGTAATCCCAGCACTAAGTAATTTGATTTTTTTTTATTCCATCTTTTTTTTCAGTACCAGGGATCAAACTCAGGACCTGGAGCTTATGAGGCAGGTGCAGCACCAGTGAGATAAATCCCCAATCCCCTTTTTATTCTATTTCTTAATCTACAGGATATTAATAACAATATATTTTATGGGGCTGTTGTGTAAGCATTATACAATGATGTCCACAATACACAGTATTTGGTATATTAAACTTTCAACATATGTCAGAAATTATTGTTCTCTATTGAATCATTTGGTTCCAAAACTTGTCTAAGAAGAAGCTGATAGCTTGGAATAACTCTTTAATTTTTGAAACATTTTCTTTTAATATCCAATTTCCTATCTTCAGGAAAGACTTGAAGACATTTTTCTTGAATGAATAATTGCCACCTCTCTTTTGTTTCATATTTTTTTGTAGGGTGCACCCAGGAAAATACACAGGACGGTTATGTGAGATTCTCCAACTTGGCAGTCTTGATCTCTGGGTCAAACTGGAACTTTATTTTTACTGTTACTTCCCCTCCAGGTAATTTTGGCAGAGTTGATTCTTTGGAAAAAGTAACCTCTTCTCCCTCATAATAGGTATGACTTATTTCATAAATATCACATCATGGATTAAAAAAAAAGTTCACTTGACTATATGATTAAGACATGAGAAGAAAGGATACATGTACCAATTACTTCTTACAAACTCCAAGTGAACAAGATGACTAATATGTGCTTTCCTCTCATAAAGTCTAACTTGTGTGTTTGGTTTATTTCTTTATTTTTTTCTATAACATTTGGTCAAGTACTAATAAGAAAATTTTAATTTATAAGCAAGAGCTATGGGATATTGGGTATCATGTCTTTGGGTCCTGTTCTCTTGATTTCCCATCTGGCAAATGGTGTTATTTATTAATATCATGGTACTTTAAAAGCACAGGGAGTTGTGTGTAAATTGCTATATGAACCAGTTATTCTGAAGTATTAAGTGGGCTTTTGTGAAGCTATCTAATGAGCATTTCACATGGAGTTACCTTGACTCATTAATGAAGGACATATGAGAATTGCAGAGCTGGTTTGAAAAGCATTTGAGATATAACATCATATAGTCAGAAATGTTTAAATAAGCTTGTCAGGTTGTATATAAGTCAATAAAACCTTAGCTTTGAGGTAACATGTTTGCAGATATCTTTGTATCTTTACTGCACAAAAATCATTTGCAGCTCATCAATATTAAACAAATTAATAGGTATGAGCCCTGTTAATGATAAATACTAGCATGCGCTTTTAGGCTCACTAACTCCAGAGAATGAAGCAGAAAGATTACTTGGGCCCAGAACGTGAAGACCAGCTTAGGCAACATATCAAGAATACTCTTTAAAAAGACGCATATTAGGTCAAACAAGTAATTCTAGAGGCTTTGATATGACTTGGATTATCCTGTTTGAAAATGATACAGTATGGCATTGGGAAGATCTACAATCATTTTTCTTTAATTTCAAGTTTTGGATCATTGTTTTACAAAAGGACTATCTTCTGAGGCTGGGTAATATGAAGTTTGATCTAAATTTATTGCAGTTAAAGACACATTGCCATTTATCTCCCCTCACATATTTTCCCTCAGTTTGAATACACTTGTCCCATTAATCTTGTCACTTTTTGAAGCACTTCTGGAAATCCTCTTTCATGAGTATGATAAAAAATAAGGTAATGCTGTTGCTGAGTGCCAGCCAATGGAAGAGCAAGCTTACAAAAATGGTACTGTGGATAATCCACCTTATTCACTCAATCTGTCAACTGGTAACTTTGGTTTTTTTTTTCCAAAAACTAAAATGATCATGAATGATAAATGTGTTGGATGGAGAAACAAAGGATAAATGTTTTCAGGGAATGAATAATGAGACATTTATTGTAATACATTTTTAAAATTTAAAGTCATGTTTTTCAATCATACATCAAAATAAGTACTAATTTTATAAGGTAGGTATCTTTTTAATATCTACCAAAACATCCAAAGTATCCTAATATAAGTTTACAGAGAAATAAATGCAGTGTCCTTGACTATGGAATTTCAAGAGCTTTGCCTTATGTTTGAGTTTTTGAATAGATCTTGAATAGTTTTTAAAGGGTCACAAATGTAGGATTAAGTATTTTGTCACAGTTATGTTTGGTATTTAAAAGATCTTTAACTTTGAATTTCCTCAGAGGTTAGCTTAGAGTAGCCAAATATTTCATGAATATTATTTATTTTATAATTATAAATATATATTAATTGTGAAATTTAATGGGTTCCACTGGAAGATCTGTCTCTCTCTCTCTCTCTCTCTCTCTCTCTATAT